CGGCCGTGAAAAAAGAAAGTTCCCAAAACCAAGATCTGGACAGATGCAGAGCCAGCCTGTAACCCGAAGATCTGATGACACGCCAAAACATGCCATCCCACAGCATTTTGCGCCGACGAACTGATCTAACCTAACCATATCAAGCTGATCTATGAAGGTATGCAATTGGAATTGACGATGTCCAAAAGGGGAAAAGAACTGAAATAAAGACTGGCTCGTGCATTGACCTTATTTAATGTGACGTCATGATGACTAAGAAAGCGAATTCAGGTATTAGAGGGCGGCTTATGTACATAACTTGCAATATCCAAAAGAAGGTGGTATATAGACATCAGATAGAAAGAGACGAGGGGAGAAGGGAGAGGGGGGCCGTGGTCAGCAAACGCACTGGGCTTCCCAAGATGAACCCGCAAAAAAAAAAAAAAAAAAAAAAAAAAAAAAAAAAAAAAAAGAGAGAGAGAGAGAGAGAGAGAGAGAGAGAGAGAGAGAGAGAAAACCAAACAAAAACACCCAGTCATGCATCCCAGAAGAGGTCATCCAAGTCGTGTATTAAATATAAAGATGAAAGGAATATAAGGAAAATTATAAACAGAATATTGACTGGAGGATTATGTTGATCTAGCCTGGAGAATGCGCACTCGTCGCTCAGAGTCGTGATCGTGGCCGGTACTGTGTCGGTGAATAGAAAACTGGGGGAGAGCATCAACAAAAGTGGAGGATAGCCGGTTAAGTGCACGGGCTGTATGTCTTGGAGGCGAAGGTGGCCGCTCACTGACCGGCGAAACATCGCCTGCAGTGGCAGTTTCGTAATTTGGAAGGCCGTTGTTATTGGCGGGCATGGCACAGGACCGCACAGCAGTTGAATAGCTAGGTACACGGGAGAGATCTTCGACATCGTTGGTTCGAATGAAATGTGGTGATATGAGGCCAGATGGGAGGTGCTCATCCTCGGACGTGCGTCGAGAAATATCCGGCGTTGTGGCCGCTGTAAAAGTTGTTATCGGGAATGTCATTGAGCGACGGTTATCATGAGCGTCTGGTAAAAGGAGCTCGGGCGGCGGTGTTCCCGGCGAGCGCAGAGAGGAGCTATCAATGTGTAGATCGACCAGACGGTTGTGTAGTATATTGGCTGCGACATCCCCGCCTGTGTCCAAGGTTGCCAGAGAAGACAGGTTCTCGGCTGATAGGTTTCGGCTGATCGAACCGTATAGCGGGGTTGCGACTCCGCTGTATATTCCCGGGGTTCGGTAGCCGTGAGGGTCGAGTTCACTGTATAGTATATCGAACTGGTGCTCTCCATACAACGGTGGTGCCTGTTGGGCCATGCAGAATTCAGCCACCTGCGGTGAAGTCGGCGATTGATTAACGAGATTATTGTTATCATCTAAGGGTAGGTTGGGTGATAGGAAGATGAATGCTGGTAGCGTAGCCCGTAACTGTAAGCCTCATATTAGTAACCAGAATTATAGCATGGGGTGATCAAGCGCTGTGAGATTCAAGATAAAAGCATACCTCTGATGTATGTCCGTCGGGGTTGTGTAGTTGGATCTTAAATTTCAGTTTGTGTCGTATCTTGATACCCCTAGTATCTGTATCCTGGATACATTTGCTGAGCTTCTTGGGCAGATCAAGAACCCGTGAAAACTGGTAGCCATCTTCTTCCTCCTCGAGAAATCGGCGCTCTTCTTCAGGCCCAAGACGAAAGTGGTCTGCTACCACTACTCTAATGGACTTGTGTGAGGTCGGCTGCAGTTGTGAGTCGTCACGACAGCTCATCACATCATAGCTCTCGATGAACTGGGTGGTAATCATCCCAATCTTGAGACCCTTTAGGAGGGGGACGAGGCGGAAATCGATGCGGACCGACGTGCCGAAGACGACAGCCTTGCTGGGAGTCGAAATGGAGTATTCCAACTTATTTGGCCAGATGTTTTCAACAGACTATTTATTCAGTTAGATCTAGTAATTATAAAGTTATATCTCGAGGTAGATAGGACATACCATGACATGGGATAGTTCCAGAGCACTGGGGGCTAACGTCCGTATAATTCGTAAAGGTTTCCTGGCCTGAATGTCTTTGGCATACTTGCGTCCGATCTCAGCCTTGAAACGGTAGATAATCCATGTGTCTGGTAGGCCTTCGATGCTCTCCGGCAGTGAACCTGGTAGGACAATGTCAAAGGGAAACTCGTAGTTGTCTGCAGGCATAATCTCGGTTTTCCCCTTGCCAGCGTCTCTAAATTTCCATGTCTTCTCGAAGAATGTTCGTTCCTTGCCGTGCTTCTTTGTACCAGGGACAGCGCCAATGAGGAACGGCCAGCTGCAATAGCGCATTAGAGAGTATCACAAGCAGAGATAAAGGGTTTAAGGGGTACATAATCGTACCTTATCCTTGACATGCCGGTCAAGTGCAGCCTGAGATGTTTGATAGTCAATGGTTCCGAGAGGCACAAGACTAGAGTGCCTTTGAGATGAGCGCTGGCAGACTCTTCCTCATTGCCCCGAAATACGATATACGGCTCGTCCAGTCTGGTTATGGATTAGCCATGACTCGGAGGGAAAGGCAGGTTAAGTATATACGGAATTTGGCATACCTGATATCGAAGTATTTCGCATGGCTGGAACTACCTGGTCCGCTAAAGAAACTAGGTGCCATGGCGGTCACTGGCGTATGGAAGATGGTGGATGGGTCTACAGCGCAGTGAGATATCGGGATGATGACAGACTCTGCGCCCGCCGGTTATGAGTCGCATGGATCACAGCAAGCGAAGCGTTATACAACCTCTAGACCAAGAAATAGAAATAGACGGCGGTGGGATGAAAGCGATTTTAACAGCAAAAGAGGAGAAATGCACATGACAGACAGGGGCAGCTCTGGATGCTTCTCGGAGAGGTTTATATACAATATATGTATATATGCGCGGAAGATATGTATCTACGGGATGGAGTCAGCGGTGGTGAGCCAATATATGGAATCCTAGCCAAATAACAACTTCATTATTCCAAAGGCTAGAAGGCGAGGGAGGAGGAAGAAAAACTTTCGCTGGATAATCATCCGACAAGAGTCCGCATTCATGGATCTCCCGCTGGCTTTCATCATCTGTCTCTTCGCAGGCCCGGCGTGGGTTTAACTTACTGGGGGTCGCATCCACTTGGAAAATTTCTTGCCTGTGAAAAAAAAAGAATGAAAAATAGAACTAAGTTTTCTTTCTCGGCCTTTGAGCCTATGAAGTTGCTGGATTTCACATGGAGACGGTTGGCCTCGAGATCAGAAAAGTTGGGTCTGATATTCGTCATGCTTTATCAGGGCGTTAAGGACGTCGATATCTCGTCTATCTATCTGGCAGCGACAGGTAGTGCCTAGGCTTGAGGCTATGAAAGGCATCTTGCAGACTGATAGGCATTTTTCATATCTGCGAAGAACAGTCGATAGACATCTCTACTCCGGCCAGAGAACTCTGTCCTTGCCGGCATTTGCTTGGCTATTCAGGCCAGAGATGAAATGAGAGACGCCAGGGTTGATCTACTCCGTGGGGCGAGTCGCAGTTACGTAAAGCCCAGGGCATGGATGAGAAAGGGGCTCTGACCTGCCCAGAGAGGCCAGTTGGGTAAGCTTATGATGGCCAGGAGCTTTAGGCATGCCCATCCGCAGGCATTCCGGTGGCCGTTGATACTTCTCCAAGGTAGTCGAGGACTGCGCCCACTGACCGCACGCTATCTTCGACCGTAGTCAGTGAGGCAGAAGATATGACCGCTGAATCGTATCGCAATAATATCGTAGCGATTGCCAGAGAAATTTTTTTTCATCCCCTGCCGGATAGCCGTCACTAGCTCCACCCGCCCTGATGAATCTCCGGCAGCTGGCCAGAGGGAGAGGACAAGGCGAGACAAGACAGGACAAGCTCTTCAGGTCCCTTTTGACGTCGTATTATCCACATGAATACTCCATGATAGACGCTTCTTCTTTCGTAGTCATCATGGTGTCATTTCGTTGTTTTATATTTTACTTAGTCAGAGTCAACAACCTCGGCTCAATATTTCCTGCTTGCCTCGGACATTTTGAAGCTGAGCAAATAGTTAAATTTGGGACTTGCTTCAACCTGCTCGACTGATCAGAGAGGTTAATATATGACAAGCGGATCTGCCTGCATGGTGGTGCCACAGGCTTGTTACTCGCAAGCGCGTGTCATGCATGTTCGGATTACACCGTTTAGCGCCCTGTTGATACATACGATTATAGGCTCTGTCGCTTGTATAGGCTCCTGAGTACCAATGACCCTTTGTTTGAGCGATAGAGCTATGTAGATGCGCTCCTCTTCCAACACGAGTTGATATGGTTTACGGAGGGAAATGCGCCGAGGCGGAATGCCCGTATATTCCCCGGCTCAACGTCTTAGCCATGCATATTCTGGCCTGGAGGATGCGCGCTGGGCGACGGGGGTTGTATCTCCACTTATGTAACTGGCTCTAAGAGTGAAAAAGACAGTTAGCTGAAAAGATCTTGGTGAAGAATTGAACGCTCAAGGGTATCTACATAGAACAACACAAGTATCTACCTCCGTACCAGTGGGGGGATGGCGGTCGGTGTTCACCGTGGTGGAATATGGCCATCACCTCCCTACCAGTCTATATCTCTCCCTGGCCATTCCGCCCTCCGCTCCTTCAACACCGTAGCCCTCGCCAACTTCGCCAACAACTCTTGCAGGAGCTCCGCCAACGACAGACCAGCTGGGCACGACCATGCCTGCGGGAACAACCACTCCGTCTAGCAAAACGACATAGTCCTTCAGAATAGCCATTGATCCTACAACCACGTTTCGTCCAATGTGGACATGATTTCCTACCGTGGCCGCCTCAACGACTGAGTTCTCCCCAACGAAGACATGGTCGCCCATCTTTAGCGGGTAGTACGAATGCACACCGCGATGGAGTCGGGATGGAGGCCGCAGCAGGCATGACCGAGACAGATATGTATAGCGACCGATAGTTACCGCGATCGAGGGCGTGTTGGTGGCAGATTTCGATCCGGCCGCTCCTGACGGTGCTGCTGCTGGTGTTGCTGGCTGCTGGCGGTAGAGGTCACCACGGATACAGACGTCCGCCTGGATGACTGTCTTGCCGCCTAGAATGATATGCTGTGTTCCGTGTACCTGGTTGCGACGAGAGACCTTATTCCCTGTATCCTGCAGACACGTCTTAACACTGCACTCTTCTTCACAAGCGGAGGCCGCCAGAACTCACGGTCTCGATATATTCGCCCTTGATGGCTTTGGGGGCCATCTCTGCTCTCTTGCCTTCCACGCGCTTCCTCTACAGCAATCCTTTCCGGCACTCACTTTCTCCACGTAAACAGATGCCTGCCGGTTCCCCTTTCAGCTCCGTATCGTCGACATACGCCTTTCCTGTCGCTGTTGATTTGTGGTTTGCTTCTTCCTCGACGTGCAGAAAAGCGTCAAAAAGCCGATGCTGACTAACAAAGTAACTAATATCTAGCTATGGTCACGTGGATATAAAAAAAATCAATAGAGACACAGCAAGAACGAGGAAGAGAACGACGGAGCAACGGCCGGGTGAAAAATAACAGGGAGGATGGAAAACGGGAAGATAGGTGAGACTGCGTGGCGAGAGAGCTCAGGTCCCTGCGTTGTTCGTTTCTCGCCCGTAAAGCTGTAGAGTCAGCTCTCGGACGCTGCAGCTCGCCCTGGATGCCCCCCCCCCCCCCCTGGCGGATACCTCAGCAGCCCACCCCCTGCTGGGGCTGGCTGGAGTGGACATCCTGGACACTGCATCTCGCATCCGGCTAACGAGTAACTCGTCACTTTTCGATGCAGAGGGTTGGCTAGTGACATCCCTGGTGCAGCTGGCTTGTGATGGCTAAGTGTTGCTGAGCAGTGCGTACTCCTTGCTGCCACTGCGGTTGATATTTAACTGTTGCTCCTGGACCAATGGTACTTATGTACGGAGTAAACCGGGGAGTCACCAAATGTGCTGATATAGCCGGCGGCCTTTGGACACAGTTTATGTAGCCCTCTCAGTGAAAAATTGGGTAGGTGGTTATTTTATTGCCGTCTCAAGAATTACAATAGTAGTAGTAATCCACAAGTTAACATGGAGCGCGCACACAAAACTATTAATGTATTAGGCATACTACCTGACCAAAATAGTCAGCTTTCCGGGGATATTTGATGTCTTTATCCCTCTTGGATATCGTTTTAATCTAGGCGCGGGCTAGGGGTCTTGCAATAGGTCGTCCGCGGTGATGCTTTCACATCCTTTGCCTTGACCTCCCCATGAGTAGACTCAAATCCAAGCCAGGTCGTGAGGAGAACTAGCACTTGATATACGTTTTCCAAAGAAAAGCTTTCTTTTGCCATTGTTTATATAGGCAGATATCAACAATACAAACACTCTCTCTTGCGTCCAATCAGCGGTCCCTCCTTTTAGTCCAGCGGTTTGATAGAACACCTCTCCAGGTAATTTTTCCCTTAAACCCAACCTCGAGAATACGAGTCTGTGTGGGGAGGAATGGGCTTAACGACGATGCATCGGCGGCGTTGTTGTGTCCCATCGAACATAGGGTGCTTTCTTATCCAATATTGTAGAGATTCTCTGTGCTTTGTCTGCAACAGAGCTTCGTTTATATCTTAGTAATAGTAGATGTTGATACCTGCGCAGATCTTGTACAGCTCCTCTGCCCATTGCGCAATCGAGTTCGGAGAGACCATGTGTAATAGTGGAGGGTATCAAGGAATAGTAAGGGAGGACATTGTCAGCGCTTTTCCCCCTTATCATACTCAACATCAACGTTCGTGTCATACAGATGCCTTTACCCACAACTATTATCATAATTTAGTAGAAATGAACTAAAATAAAATAGTAAGGGCATAGAAGGCCTACTCCGTGGTCCATACTTTCTTGCTATTGCAGCGTTTTCCACGGGGGTATTATTTTTTTCATGCCCTCGAGGTTCTTCCTCGCTATCAAAGGCTTTCAAAGGGGGAAGAGAGGTAGGCCTGGATTAGGCGCCCTTAATTATAACTAGCAGAGTTAAGCGATAATGTGCTTGTAATGTCCATTGAAGCTGCTGGATGCTCAGTTGCAATCCAGGAGTTGGGTAACTACGGGCCACCCCAGTGTGCAAATATTTTATTGCCAATAAATCTCCAAGACTAACATTGCGATAGGTAAGATTTCGATTTCTTGAAGTCAATATCTTAGGTACACTTAAGTACATACGACTGGGGCGAAACTAATTATGTCGCTTGTGATCGTCCCATGCGAGGGCCCCCTGGACGAGTTGACTACTGACAAACCTATAGTCTTGGCCAATATATGCATCGCCTACCCTGGTGGACGCGGGGGTGGTCAGGCCATTATCGAGAGATCAGGCCGTACGAAAATATCGCATTTTGCTAACACTGTGATGCGCTGCTCATGCCTGGCCGGTTCTAGATTGGAGGTCCGGAGCTCCGGCTGTGATGTCCTGACAAATCTCGAGGCTGGCAGTGCAGCGTGCTTTAGTCATGAAACAGCAGCCAGACTGGGGGCGCTGGATGATCATGCTAACCTCTTGGGCTTCTTCTGTGGCAAACAAGGAAATCCACGATCAAGTGATGAGGAAGATGAATATAGGTAAAATGCGTACATGACGATGGATTAATTAACTAATTAGGACTGGCTACGAGACATTGTGGAAACGATACAGCGGGTATCAAATACAGGGGAGGCAAAAGAAACAATCGTCGGCGTTCAAACACGCGTGTGGGTATACAGGGATATGCAAACGGACAAGCCAATATAGTTATCTCGGTTGCCCGAATTTGTTATCAGTCTATTTGTAACTGACAGTCATAGGCCATATCTAGTGGGCTTTTTGAGCTGGCAATTCTCCGTCATAGTGGACTTTGAAGGCTGTAGAAGGCAAACATGTCAGTAGCTGTGCAAAGGCAAGCATAGAACCTGGACAATTGGCAACTTACTCATTGGGAAGACAAAGTAGCCGCTCTGGTCCTCGCGCATGTAGATATAGAACCCACCTGGGCGCGGGATCTTCTTCAATTCACCCTGGGGTCCTGGGGCTCGGCGGAGGTTGTCTAGGCCACCGACGACACGCAGCATGGACGTAAGTGCGATCATGTTTGCATCCTTGCCCAGACAGGCGTGCGGGCCCTCACCGTAGTGGATGTATGAATCCAACGGACGGTCAAGGCGGACTTCATGTGGCGAGGGGAAGATGTTGGGATCACGGGCAGCACCGACCTTCGTAGATGATGGTTAGCTTCATTGAAATGTGGTTTATAGGTATTTACTAGAATAGAAAGAAGACTTACGAAGCTGACGAAGACCTTGTCACCAGGTTTGACGGATACATTGCGGCCATCATCATCAATGTCGAGAGCAGCAGTAGACTCGCGGTAGGATCCGAAGGTACCGTTCAAGCGGATACCCTCCATGCAGTAGTGGAGCAGCTTCTCATCGGCCTCGTCGGTTCTCTCCTTGGCCCAGCGTCTGATATCTGGCAGGTGGACCTTGCCCTCCTCGGAGAGATAGTAGTCAATAATTTGAGTGAACTACGTTCATGTTAGCGGGTGTATACTGTAGGATAGTCAACAATCAAACTGATTGATTTGTACTTACTACTTGAGCCTGGTTTGGAATCATAGCTCCTGCGGTTGGCATAACCTGAGACCAGGTAACTTGCTCAACACTGAGCCCCGAATCAAGAAGGCGGCGGATCATATGGGCACCGTACTCTGCCAGGGCATTCTTGTTCTCACCCATGCGGCTGAACAGGGAGAGAATGCCACCCTTGACGGCCTTGACACGGGCCTCCATAATCTGGCCGAGTTGCTGAGCAACAGTTCTGGCAGCCTGTCTGAGCGGGAAAGATTTGGCAGGGTCCAGGTCGAAGAAGATAGTGGTGAAGATCAAACACATGATCATGAACATTTCATGCTCGGTGTAGATACCCTTGGGGTTCTCCGCAGTCTTCAACGGCAGGCCGAAAATGTTAGAAGCAAAGTGTACGTGTGCAAGGTTTCCAACGCTGTTTGCAATGTTAGCCTTGGGTCGGATTTGGTAGGTGGAAGGGTCAAAGATATTTGGCTAATCTTACTCTCTGGTGATATCAACCTGGTTGATGCCTGCGATCTTGCAAGTCTTCTCCCTGAGAAGCCTGATGGTGATATCCTCGTAAAACTCCTTGATATGCTTCTTCCAATCGCTGTGGTACAGCGCCTTGCCCATGGTCTTACGCTGCTGACCATGGAATGTACTGTCTCCAGAAAGCATGAAGTCCAGTCCTCCCTTACCAAAGAGGAAACCAGTAGCCTCTCCCCAGGTGACACGGAAGTCCTTGGAGTTTTCCAATATGGTCTTTGCTCCCATGTAGGAGGTGATGTTGACACGGGGAGGAATAAAGGCCGGTCGATCCCAGGAGAAATTGTCATGTCGACCGAGATCAGTCATGATCTTCTTCATCTCGCTTGGGATAGTCATTGGGAAATGAGCATAGATTGAATCGCCCTTGACATGGTTGGGGAATGCCCTGAGCATGAGCTTGTAGAACATGCAGCCCTGGTTGACACTGAGGTCATAGTGAGTCTCAGAGTAACCCCAGTTGGTCAAATTTTTCGCATGGTAATCAACCTGTTGTATGTAATTTAGCAAATCGGGGCCGATATATGTATATATAGAGAGATCAAAGGTGTCAAAATCTTACAGTGTAGAAACGATCTCCACGGACTAACACCACAGCATCGGACAAGATGGCACGAGAAATAGTGTACGTTGGGCAGATACCAGCTCCAGGAACCATTGGAATCTTTGGCTCCTCGGCAACAATACCCGGGTACAATTCAACGTGGTCGGGGTGCTCGTAGAGGTTGCGAAGAGCTCCAGAGATTTCCGGGTCAGAGTTGATCTCCTCGAAAGTCTGATACTCTTTCAACCCGAAAAATTTGCGGAACTCGTTGAGAGAGGCGCAACCCCATTTACGGGCCATTTGTATGCCGAGGATCTCAACGCCCCGAAGTGCCTTTGGAACATTTTTGGGGCCGAAAGATCCTACAGATAAGTCTCACGTTAATAAAATTCTCCATGGTATTGGTGTGCCGAGAGTATCACTTACCCGCAACTTCTTCGATAGCTTCAGTCATTATGTTCATGAGCTCACCATCATCAAAGGTGCCATCAGCCTTTCGTTTGAGGCCGGCAAAGGTTCTCTCAGCTGGGTCGTCAGGAATGCTAGCCTGCCATTTACCCAGTCCTCCGACAAGCTCTGGAATAGAGAGGTCTTCACCCCTCTTTCCGAACATCTGCTGATACGTGTTGTTGGTGAAGTCCTCATCTGCAGCACCAATGCAAGAATGCCAGCGGTAAGCCAGATTGAATTCCATGGAGACCTGGTTACCAATTCCGCTAGCAGCAGCCTCAGGAACAGCACCCTCACGCATGCCAACTCGTGGGTCCTATCAAAAGTATAAGTCCATCTATCCGACAGTGCTTAAGATTAAGGCAAGATACTAACCAAACTCCAAGTAGTGTTGCTGCGGGTCAAGTTGATAATGGTACGGACGTAGTCGTAAAGTGTGATGTTAATGTACAATCCACAAGTAATCCTGAGCTTCCTGTTAGCTAGATCTGGAGCAATGACACGGTTGACATCGAGCTTACAATCGCCCAGTCTGGAACAGGTCATTGTCATATTTAGCCCAAGCTTTCTCAGTGGCTTCTGGACTCATTCCACTCCTTGGTTTGGCAAATCGACCACCTTCATTAATAGCGGCAAGCTGCTCAACAGCATAATTGTGGAATCTAAGCGTTAAGTATCAGAAATCGTTCTATCATGGTTGGGGAATATGCAAGTATTTACCTGTTCAACATGATGAGGATAACGCTGCAAGCCGGAGGGAAGGCAAGAAGACGTGCTTCAGAGTAGCAATCGGGCTTTAGTTTACCATCCTTGAAGGTTCGCACCTTGTTCTGGTCATCTTGGTTGTCTCCGTACAAGATGGAGAGATCGAGGTACGAAGAAGTTTCCGAAATGTGAGGGTTTTGATAGTCAGTTTGGAATAAATCATGGATGATCAGAGACGCCCAGTTGAAGAAGACGCTAGAAACTCCGTTAGGGTGAGGCTTGAATTTCTCACGCGCATATATGCTATCGAAAATGAGTCCTGGGTCGGGAAGGGATCCTAGTTGGATTGACTCTGGAATTATGGAGCGAGCATAAGGAGTATTTGCTGCTCCCAGCATTGGAAGCATTGGGTTGTTGTAGGATCCGTCCGCGCTCCTGTACTTGTAATCATCGCCCAGCATGCTATATAGGATTAGTTGTAACCCATGGACCATGAAATTCTAACTTCTCTCAGGTGTAGGTGACATACGTTGGTGGAGGGTGGAGGAGAGAGTCCCAAAGCTGCTTCACGAAGCCATTCGTCAGATCCTTGCGCATCTTCGATTGTGGTGGGAGGCCTGCAACGAGCTATTAAAATGGAGTATAAGTCTCTTTTCTGCCTCGGTCCGTTGACAATTGATATCTCAGTTGTACATACGTTGATAACACGCTCCATAATGTACTCTCGATCATTGTCGAGCTTTCCACTCTTCTTGTGTTTCCTGACTGCCAGCAAAGTGGAAATGCCCTTCCATCCCATGGTACGCAGGTCGGAAAGAGTGCTGGTATATTTGGTTTCTTCTCTGAGATATGAGCCATCTCCTGACTGGTTAGGCAAAGGGCGTCTAGAGGCATGAATCAGTTGGGCGTATTTTGCGAAAGTGCCCTCAACATCTCCTCTCTTAGCTCGAGGAGCTGTGCTCTGGCTTGGGGGTGAGCTGGTGCTCGACTTCGTTCCATTTGTAGTTGCATGGGTGCCATTTGTCACTCCATTGACACCGTTAGTAGCACCCCCGGCCATGTTTGCCGTTCACACAGTGGTCTTCCTCGGCGGTAGATTATTCAAGAGTAGAAACAGAGTATGACTTTAACGATGGCCACAACCTCAGGAGCAAGAAGATAGCCTCCTTCAGGTGTAGAGTATGTCCAGCAAAGAGAGCTACCAAAACAAGAGGAGGAGAAACAAGGACCAAAGGATTAATTGTGGGCGACTCTCGTTTTATTTGCTGTCACGGACTTTCGCCGCGCAGGATGATCGGGTATTTGGTAGGTCAGCTAGGAGAAGTAGATTCAAGGCTGGGGAGCTGACATGCTCTTGATGAAAGGCTACGGACGAGAATATGTTTCTCCGTCCTAATAATGCTCAAGAATGGGACGGACCCACCACGGCTGCGTGCTTGGGGGGGGGGGGGGGGGGGGGGAGTCTGCTTCGTATCCATCCGGGCTGTTTTCTCAGTAATCCTTGAGACCTGACTGGATAACTCAGAGAAAGCCAGCTCAGACTCTTGCACAACACAGCTCAGCAGCCTCCCCGCCCCCTGCTGGCTCATCGAATTGGATTTCAGCCCCGAACCAGCAAGCCAATGATAAGAGTCATGATGGCTGAGTGGAGTGGAAGCTTCATTGAGTTTTCGTTTATGCAGGATCCATGGATGCCTCCAGCCGTTCATTTGTTGTTATCTTGCCTAGACACCTCAAAAATTGGGCGGGCATGGGTGCTACACAGATCAGACACACAGGTATCCATATATTACCTGATCGTTAGCCATGTTCCGATAGTGTCTACCGCCGTTTGAAGCGGCAGCAACCGGGTGCGGGTGTGTAGTTGCTGTAATTCCCCGGAAAGACACCCCCTGAGACAAGACAGGCGAGCACAACGCTGAGAGTAAGTTGGCCCCATGAGGAGCTTGCTTGACCTCACGGACACCAGGGCAGCCTGAGCTGATCCCAAATCACGAAGTTCCTTTTGATCCATGACATCGGTTAAGGCTGAATTGTCAGCTCGAGCAAGGGTCTGTTCTCTGGGGCAATCTTCGGTTCCCAATGGAGGCCATATCGAGAGCCTGGCGAATAGGAACACTACGCCTGGGATGCGAACCTTCTTAATCGAACTGCACATCTCGAATGATAAGTCGTCACTTTGCTGTGGAACTCTCCCTCAATTCAGTTTGTGCTCCGTGTATGGATCTGTCGACTTGGTATTCTCAGTGGTGGAGGGTTGGTCAGTTGCTTTGGTGCATCTTAACTATTGCTCTGGCCGAAGCTGGGCTGTGCGCTTCGACAATACCAAAAGCCTCGATTTTAAAATCGACCGGATTCCCGACCGGCCAGCGAATTGCCGTCCTCCAGTCTCTCTCTGAGTTTCCCATCTGGTGAGTTATCTGGGTCTCCGTCGTGAGGCTGGCTGGGGTTCCACTAATTAGTTTATGCATCCAAGGGGTATGTGTTCCTTCTCCGTCTTTGCGTTGATCATGCAGGTTAACATGACGAGAGGGCCGTGGGCTACACCAATTGAACTGATCAACCCTCCCTGTCGACATACACTATACGGGGAAGCTAGCATGCGACTGAGATTGTCAACCTGAGGCACCAGGTCCTCGCCCTCCATTCCTCCCATGTGACTGTCTGCAGGGTCAGAGATTACTGAGATCTCCCCTCCATCCGGGAACATGTTCACAATTTTCTCGTGAAACGAGCGCTGCATTGCGAGCTAGTTTGAACATAGCTTTGGTGCACAGGAGTGAGAGAGGTTTGTTGCTTTCTTTTTCCTCTCCTTAAAAGACATGTATAATATCTGATCAAATACGGAATATGATAATTTTATATGGTTTGCGCCATCCGCTGCCATGCCGGTTCAGCCTCTGAGGTAGTTGGCGGTTGGGTTTTGGCGTCAGTGTTCATATAACATATAGTTCTCCGTTGCTGCTACGCAGTAGACGGTCGTTGACGGGCAAACCTTTGGATATCTACTGAATAACTAGTTGGATTTGGTTGTGGCTTTCATTTGTCCTCATTCCCAATGGCGACTGCCAACCCCCCTTCACGGCCAAAGACTTTGGTCCTCTGTTTCGATGGCACTGGGAACAAGTTTTCAGGAACAGAAGCAGATTCCAATGTGCTCAAAATATTCCGAGTCAGTGAGATGCCTAAACCATGGGATGCACCAACAAACAAACACCAGCAAATTGACTAACAGCTGGCACTCTAGATGCTGGATAGTAGCCAAGGGGACCAGTTTCACTATTATCAGCCGGGAATAGGCACCTATGTCTCTTCTACAACCTTCTCGGACACCGGATTTTACTCCAGAATGAAATCTGCCATGCTCAAGGCTAAGGATTCGGCCGTTGGCAGCTCGTTTGCCGACCATGTAATGGCTGGCTACCGGTTCCTTATGCGGTACTATGCGCCAGGAGATAACATGTATTTCTTTGGATTTAGTAGAGGCGCGTACATTGCTCGGTTCCTTGCAGAGATGATTGACTATGTGGGCCTTCTAACCGCCGGGAATGAGGAGCTGGTGCGCTTTGCCTGGAAAAATTATGCCAAATGGCAGCAAAGAGATGGCAAGGGAGATGAATACCATGACAAGAAGCTGAAAATGTATAACTATATGAAAGCGTTTCGCGAAACATTCAGTCGACCGGTAAACCCCGTACGATTTATTGGTATCTTCGACACCGTCAACAGCGTCCCGAGGTTCGAATCAGCTTGGATGCAGAGAAGCAAGTTCCCATACACTGCGAAGACATCTGCTAGAGTCATCCGGCATGCTGTTGGTATTGACGAGAGACGGGCAAAGTTCCGACAAGATCTGATTTCTCAAACGAGGGATATACATTCGAAACATGGCCATCACCATATCCCTCATATCTCTTACCATGGTCGCAAGTCTGTCTTCAGTAAGTGGGACCTTCGGAAGTTGATTAGGGGCAAACGCAAGAATAATATCCCAGATGTTGTTATCAACTCTCCTGAAGCAAACGAGAAGAGTACCAACGGCGTTGATGACAACGGAGTCACGAATGGGAAGCCTAATACCTTGAGTGCCGAAAAAGCCCCCAAGGTACCAAGCGGTGGCAGATTCAGGCCACCATTCCCATCTTCTGAGTCCCACCTCGCGGTACCCAACCTCTCCGTGGCGGGGGCTCAGCAGGGGGACGACGCTATCTCAATAGTAGAGAGCTGCCATTCGAAGATATCGATGCCGGTTCCGGGACTAGAGAACGGGAATGAGGAGCAAGATATCCAAGAAGTTTGGTTCCCTGGAGGCCATGCAGATATCGGCGGAGGATGGGAGCTTGCTAAAGGCGAGCTCTGGCAGCTCAGCCATGCTCCTTTAGTTTGGATGGTCCATGAAGCGCAAGCAGCTGGGCTGCGATTCAGCCCTCGTGCGCTGAAGCAGTTTGAATGCGATGAATCGTACTCAGGTGAAATCACACCCGTGGAACGCTCATCTTTCCAGTTCGATGACTATGAAGAGCTGCAAAAGAAGTGTGTTCTCGAAGCAGGATTGCTTGAGGAGGCGTCGGATGCTGAGGCGGTTAGAAATTCATCTCGGAAAGTGACCGCATCTGAATCCTTTCGGGCTGCTCTGCATCTCTCCAGCACTCAGGGCCAAATCCATGACTGCTTATCATACAACATGGGAGTCCCCAATCTTTCAGTAACACTTTGGTCAATGATGGAATACCTCCCATTCAGGCGAATGGACCTTCAAGTCGATGGATCGTGGAAACCTATTCGTTGGCCGTTACCTCAGGGTGAAGTCCGTGATATTCCTGATGATGCCCAAATCCATGTGAGTGCCATACGCAGGCTGCAAGCTCGAGACGATTACAGGCCTGGAAATCTCATCTTGGGTGGAGGCGGCCGTGGGGTCAAGAAGTTACCCAAGGACCATCACATTGGCCATTGGGAAGTCCATAGCAACGAAGGATGCCCTATTAGGGAGACCTATGTTCGCCGAAAGGTTCCTAAGGATGGATCAGAACGGAATGGAAATAAATGTAACAGAAACAAAGAGCACAAGCATTAACAAATAATAATGCCAAAGGGAAGGACCTGTATACCATCCTTTTATTTATTTTAATACCTTATTGATGCTGTATATAATGAAGCCTTCAGCTATTAGTTAACTATCAGTTCTAATTAGTTATTTTTGCAAGGGTTGGAGGAACTTAGAATAGGGGTAAATTGATGTACTATGTGAATTGTATCTGCCACTCTTCTATATTCTAATTTCAAAGGCTGCAGCTTCCCTCAAATCCCTCTACGCCTAGTCATAGGCCGACGTTGTAGTAGAGTTGTTGGCTATCGACTCCGTGACCTGGATTGAGTTGTTGAAACATCGGAACTTGCCTTGCATTGGCCCTATTTTAATATACCCAAGAATCGGGCCAGAGCATAGGAAAAATGAATCATCGGAGTCGCACTTGATGTCCCCCCGGAGTACATGATGTACTGTTACTAGAGCCTGCTGGAAATGGTAGCATGGTTGGGAATAGGGACGAGGGGCTGGCCTTCGACGTGGTGCGACGACGGCAAACTCTTGTACCACTTCTCGCAATGGTTTTTGGTGAAGAAAGGGTCGCTGGTGCAGCTGATGGGCCGCTGGTCGTGGTGGGAGGGCATACACAAGTTGCTGGGGGCGCTGCTGGTGTTTTTGATGCTGTTATGGAGCACGACGGGGCTGGTGGCTGCGATGGTAATAGCGAAGGTGGTGCTGGCTCTGGTGCCTCAAACTTGCTTGCGCACGCATAGCCTTTATCGGCAGCACCTTTTGCCCCTGATCCGTATTCCACAAACTCCCCAGGAAAGGGAAAGATGACTTCTTTGCTGTGATCAGTCTTGCACTGTGGTGCTTGGTTGATGTTTGCAAGGAATATGTTGGGGAGCGCATGAAGGGCTGCTTGTCCCGAAAGAGCCACCTTGCTGTTGCCAGAAGGATTATCATTCGATCCTGATATTGTGACATGCGCGCAGTTCATGTACATCTCTCGGTTTCCCAGACGGTTGAACCAGGTCCAGGCGAGGAGAGCGTTCCCACTCGGCGCGTTGCTTGGGATAGTAAACTTGTATTGCTTCGACAAGGGACAGCCCCCGATGAACGACTTGATAGCTTTGAAGGTCTTTCCAGAGTCATATGAGAGTGAGATTTGGCACGATCCGCCACCGTGGGTTGCACCTCCGGCTATCTCGATTAAATATTCTTGTCCTGCCATGTATTGCGCTGTTGGTTTGAAGGGGTCATTATGGTAGCCCTTGCAAGGGTAATCTGAGCCATCTGAGCGTAGGGGAGATGTGTACGAATAGTCTTTATTCGTATTTTCCTTGTTTAGGGGACTTCTGACTGGGAATGGGTTTGCTAGCTGCATATGGCCATAGGCAGTATGGCAGGTGTTGAAAAGGAGAAGCTGTATAGCAACGAAAAGCTTCATGGTCATCCTTCTTAGTTGTCACTTAAAGCTTGGGATATCAAATCGTACTCGGTACTGGCGTAGCTGATGGGAAAGAAATGTATGTAATTAATGGTTGAGAAAGACAGCCTGGTTCCGATGCACTTATATTTCTAGAGACAGCCGCAGGACTGATGGAATAGAATCCTTCCAGTTAATACAGCCACGCTTAGAATAGAGGCATGGTGGAAATTACCAGGCAAGCTAGGTATATCCCAGAATTTCCTTCACAAAGCGCTGAAGAGTGTAAGAATAGTGAAGAACGCAGATGAATAATCCTTCACAGTAACCATTTGGTCATGGTGGTAAAAAGAATTTTAATTTGACTGTGTCGGTCTGCCTGTCTCAAGAGAGAAGGATAACAAGATATGTAATTGAACAACGTCAATAACCCGTGGATAGTAGATAGCTGTAGCCTCATGCCCAACTGAGGACATGGAGAGTAGAGCTACCGAGTCGGCCAGGTATTCTAACCCGGACAACAAGGGAATATAAAAGTAAAAAGAAAAGAAGAAGAAGAAATAAGAGGGAAACTTCCGTTACGAATCACTATCTATGGGAGTTGTACCCGTAACCATGGGAATATTCACCCACACTAATACCACTTTCGCCATAGGTATAATCCGCATATTCGGATCTCGCCCACGGGTTGAGCGACTCCTGGGAAGTAGGTGATATGGGACCGTCTGGACTTGTAGCAGTATGGGCATTTCTCCCATATCCATAGCTAGGGTTAGGCTCCGTTTGAGGGTTGCCGCTTTGAGCACCCTGGCGCAATTGGATGTTTTCTGGATCAGTTTTTCTGACGCTATCATTCCCGAAGCGCTGGAGAAAATTTGTGAAGCGAGGTTTTTCCACTTTCGGCTTGTCCTCCAGCGAGTTGGCACCAGGGGTCAAAGAGGCCAGGCTGTATTCGACAGTGTGATCAGTAGAGGAGCTTTGAGTTTGCTGTCTTGGCCAGAAGCGTTGACGAAGCCTGGTTGAGGCATGGGAAAGAGGCTTTGGTGAGGTTTTAGAAGTCCGTTGGCGGTTTTCGAAGGCCTTCTGGATGAGAATCGAGAGTAGAAAGAGAGCACTGGGGGGAGATATAATTAGCGAACAGGTTTGGCGCACACGTTATGTGAGGGAAGACCAACGTTCCAATGATAGAGACGGCAAAGGTCCCCTTTTCTAACTTGCACGCGGTAGCTAGGTATCGCATGGAAGTGAGATTATCTCCCCTGCCAGTTCCCGTATCCTCGTCGCCAAATGCTGCACCTGGGTCTTCCGCATCACCACTTCCAACGGGCGTGGTTACGCGTCCTGTGCAAGGGAGGGCGCCGTGGCGAGTCATAAGACAGATAGCTAGAAACGCGACGGCGAAAGTTCCGTCAAATAGCATGGATATACGAGAGAAGCCTAACAGTCCTCCATACGCAAGAATGAAAAACGATGTGAGTATGGCATAGATAGCGGCCACTCCAGCTATCCCGGCAACAGCCTTCAGCCATTCTGGGGCATGCTCGTTGTGATCAGCAAGGACTGCAAGGAAATAACTAAAAACCCCGACGATGATCAGTGACGACAAGAGCTGAAGCATCCTTAGCCCGAAACCTGCCAGGCGGATGGCATTGGTGGATGCCATGGCTTCTGGTACAACCGTAGCTGTCTATGCTGGGTAGCAATGCGGGTTTTATGGATCAGAAACAGCCCATGAGCTTGTCAGTTTCAAGCTCAAGACCAGATAAGAGTAGGGAGGGGAAAGTGAGTATTTTGTACGGCAGGAACATTGAGGTCAAATTGGCTTCGATTCTCTATTCTGTGTCTGTCTCTCTGTCTGTTTGTCTGTTTTTCTGTGCTGAATTCGCCTCCCAGCGAAGCTCCCCAAAAGTAGCGAAGAAAGCGCAATCCGCGGCCGAAAAATAAATAGACTGGCTGATGTCATATCACGTGCTGAGGATTCACATGATATCAGAATGGCACGTAAGGGCTGGCTGATGCTGGTCAACGGTTGATAGCACCAATTTAGCGACTGGAAGGGCCTGAGGATAACAGCCTGAGCAGTTGGAAAGGCATTGTATCTCGCAAATATATGGCAGGCTGTCCGATGGGTAGATGGACCGGGGGTTGGGGCGGGTGGATATAGCGGAGCTTGATGTGTCGGGTTTCGACTCAGAGAGGAAGAGACATCCCCTCACTCAGGGAAGAGCAACGAGAGCTGGTCGATAAGGGGTATATAACTGCGTGGCAAGCAGCCCAGGCGCTGGCTTAATCCTCAAGCAGATCCGCAATATCCTTGTCATCATCTTCCACCCGCTTCCTTTCAGCCTCCTGCTCTAGATATTTCATGAAATTTCGCTGTTTTCGTCTCGCACTTCTGCCCCAGTTCGACACCCCAGTAGACTCTCCTTCATCTTCACCTTCCTCATCACTCTCTGCGATGTCGCCTTGCCTCAAAGTATTGGCCGACAGCTTGGTTTTGCCCGTAGTTTCGGCAGCAGCGGCTTCTTCGGCTTCTCTCTTTGCGTTGCCAGAGTCAAAGAGTTTTCTGAAGCCCTTGTCAAGGTACGGCCGGAGAAAATAATAGCCACCTATGATCCAGACAAGCCGGATGTAGTCTTGAATGGTGAGGTTGGAGACAGACGTGGATATGTTGTTGATGAAGTTGGAATACAAGGTATATAGCGTATCTGTCACACTCGTAAACTGGAAATCCGCCATGGTAAACGCCTGCTGTATGTGACGGAGCTCCGCCTAGGGATGGGCTATGTAGTCGTTGCGGTAGCTAGGGCGTAGGAGCTGGATATTGCTGTTCGTCTCGGTTTTTCAGGTCAGACAAATTTGCGAAACGTTAGTTACGGTCCTTTCTGAGGGAAAAAAAATCTCTCGATTGGAGCGGCGGGGAGAGCACTGTAAAAATATCCCCCCCAACAGGCTGTTATTTCTTTTTTATTGAGGGCGTTCTTCTTTTCTTCTTCAAGGCAGAAACCCCATCAATTAACTGAGGCCCATCTAGAGAATAAAAAAAAAAAAAATACGCCCCGGACTTTATAGATAGTTACTCCGATCCCGTGACATCGCGTTTTCAAGTATTAAGGTTCCAACCAATCATTGAGCCAGGGGACTTCCTGGCATATTTACAATGGATGGACTCGAAGGCAACCTAGACAAGACTGAGATCACGCAGGCAGCGAGATGAAGTAGTGGATAGACAACGATGGCCCCTACTAACGATGATGGACAAGAGACGAAAAAGGTAAGTTACTTAGTTTATCTTGTGTTCCGTGGCAGGTGCTGACTGATTCCCATCCAGCAGCTGAAGGCGATGCTCTGGTATACCCTGGGCAACCTCACTCGCGAACATGCAGACCTCTTCGATACAGAGGTAACTCCTCAGTTCATCGCGGGGCTAGTAGAGATTAGCTGGGCGCAGCTAGGTGCGCTGAATGTCTCGCTGGTAGTCTAGGGTATTGGCTAATGACCTGGTCAGAAACGGTTGGCCAGGATTTAGAAATGTTTGCAAAGTACGTATGCATGCGGGATTGTTGCTCGAATATCATGCGGGTCGTGATGCTGACACTATTAATTTATCAGCCATGCTGGTCGTTCGACGATTAACGCGTCCGACGTCCTGTTGCTGGCGCGACGTAACGAAGGCCTCGAGTCCATACTGCGCGAATACAATGACCATTTAGAAGCTGAACGAGAGAAGCGAACTTCTAAAGACGGGTAACCTCTATAGTACGCTTGGGATCTTTGATATCGGGGCCATGAAGAACTCGCTAGCATAAACAATCATCAATCTCTGCTGGTAGAATTGATATCGACCAGCACAGCATGTACGCCAAAAGGTGAATGACCATCTAGCCAAGCTATGGTTGAGGTTATCCTGAGTGTGGCCATAGTCGGCACGATACACGGAATCATGATGTGAAGGGGAATAGCCGGCGGGCAAACAAACCTCCGTTCCTGATTATACTATCAGATTGCTTTTAGATTATTGGGGGTACACTGTGTGAAGCACTTGGCCTGAGACTACGTGATGACTGATAGCCCATCGAAGAATGGAACAGAACGAGGTACATCATGCATTGCCTGCATAATATCGTCAATTTTCATGCCGTGTCTCGCTAACAAGCCTGTCTATCTCTAACATCTTTGAATGATCGCACCAATAAGTAATTTATTTCAATGCATCCTTCTCAATTCTTCGATCATTTCCTTCAATGAGGACACGGTGACAGTGCTATCGTCAAGTCTACTGACTATCTCCTCCTGCATGCCCGGAGTGCATGAAAGGAAACGCTCAATGAGCTCTCCGTCCACGAACCTGAAAGGCTCATCGGATTGGTGCACCGTAGTTCTAAACGCACGATATTTAGAGAATGGTATCTCTCCTGGACTTATAGTTATACTGCCCATGGCAGTCTGAAGTCTGAGTAGGAGGTCTATATAGGTTGGGTTGATTAGGCCGAAGAGATAGATGGACCCATCCACCTGTTATACTGTTAGGTTTTATACATAATTTTCAAAGTAAACGCAGGAAGACGTACAGTTGCTAGTAATGCTCGTGCAGAAACAGCTGTTTCCGTATATGTTTGAATAACTATCGGATGGATTCGATTGACCATCTCGCCAAGTCGGATTTCACTCGTAGGTTGCAGGCGTTTCCTATCTGACTCTGTTACGCCAGTAATGTTTTGCTGTAGAACAACCAGATTCCCTTCCGCGTCAGCAAGTAGATAGACATTCTCTTCAATAGGCGCCACAGCCGTACTCCAGAGTGTCTGATAGTGGCGTGCTATCTCTTCGAACTTGGGTTCTCGTTCACCCTCTTCTGCCTGTGTGTATTGTACCAGTGACATACTTTTCATCACGTCTGCTACAGCAACCGTGTCACCAACTACGGATATATCAATTGGTGCGGTAGATGTTCGATATGCAGTATGCTTTTCCAGGAGGATGTTCCCAAATCTGTCGCGTGCCAGCTTGAACACTGAGACCTATGAAAATGTCAGTATATATAGTCTACTGAGCAAGGCAAATCCCCATACTAACCGACTTGACTAAACCAGCTACTAGTAATGTATGATCCATAACGGCGAGGGTGCGACAAGCTCCCATGAGAGACTTCTCCACGATTAAAGAGAGCTCTCGGGACCTATTCACTTCAAATACAAGGATACGGCCACGGATATGGTCGTCCCCTACATCGTCCAGGAAGGCGGTTCCAACGAAGAACAAGTCCTTGGATATCGAATTACCTACCTCGTCTTTACCATGATTCAACTGGGACCTAATGACACACTCAACCAATTCGTCGGGGCGAAGATCGTATGTGCTCAGGGGCCGAAAGAGTATCTCGTCTGCCAGGACAAACGAGCTGCTTACTTCTTCGACTCCGTTGGAGATTTTCCGTTTCACTGTCCCTAGTCCAAAGGCCTTCTCCGTGGGCGAGTAAGCCAGGCGTCTGACGCTGGCGTGCATGGGCAAGGTATGGATTTGTGTGGTGCGCTCTTCGTCCACGATTGCTATCTTCAGCTCGTGCTGGCTCGATAACGCGATTGAGCCTGGATAAGCTTGGGTATTGAGACTACATATACGGCTAGCGCTCGCCGAATCAACCGCAGAATATACAATTCTTCCCTCTGATGCATGTATCAAGCTTGGATGATCGCACGTTGCAAAAACATTGTACTGCCCATTACCACGCGGAAGCTTCTTGAATGATGGCTGTTCGGATCCTAGCGTAATCTTGCTAGAGTTGAAAATGGCAAAGGCATGGACGTCAAAAGAAAAGGAGAAGACGGTTCCATCGGCCATGGAAACGAACAAGGTAGGAGGTTTGTTAGGGAGTATCTCAGCCACAATGACTGATCGTGGGATTGCTTCTCCGGGCTCGCCTAGGGTCTGCTTGTTCTTTACTTCGAGCCCAGGAAGGTCGAGAATGATGATCTCGGCAGACTGTGGGAGGCATACGATGCACGCTTGGATTGGGGAGGCCGGTATAGTCATGCCGGAGACCTGGTTATCTGCCTCAAAGTCTCTGCTTCCGACCAGCTCGAAGGTCGAAAGTGATATGCAGACAAGGCGGGTGCCGCCGAGTACGAGAACGAGATAGTCATCATTCGCCGAGGCGGAGGTGATAGTGAATTCTTCATAGGAAGAGCGCCATATTATCATGCCACTGTCGACATCTATTGCTCTAGATATGCTCTCGGTCACCTGGAGAATGCGATTTCCCGGTATATTGGTGGCTAATAGGGTGCTTTCAGAGAACACAAGGCCAAGAAAGCCGTCCTCCTTCTCCTCTACATCACCATCGGCAGAGAAATGGAATACTCGAGTTTCATTGACGAAGGAGACAAGCAGTGTATCAAAAAATGGCTCGGGACAGGCAGAACGCAATGCCCAGAGGTCAGTGATATGTTCCATGCTGGCGAGCACGCCAAGCTCTTCAATCCCAACACCACTACGAACACTGCGCAGGCTACCGTCGCCAAACGCGCCAGATCCGGTGACGATGCGTGTTTGGCCTGATGAAAACTCGCGAGTGGCACCCGAACGGTCACCCATGTCCATGATGGTGAAGTCGAGGATAGGAGCGATGTTAGAGATGGTCTGGACAAGGTCGAAGCCGCCCTCTTTAATCTGGATAACCTGTGAGTCGCCCTGGTGAGAGCCGACGAAAACAATGCCGCCGTCAAGATAGACAAGCACGGAAGCGCGAGAGGTGACACCGAGGAAGTCAACCTTCCATGATTCGACAGCATTGTCAGCATCAAGAACGAGCATGAGGAAGAAGAGGCGGCCGTAGTCGTCCGCTAGCAGCCACCGTTGGCCGTCTACTTGCTCCCAGGCCACAAATACAGTGGACTCAGCCAGTGGCCTTGAAATAGTTTCGTTCCTGGAGACATCAACATATTTGATAGACGATTCTCCGATAATCAGTAGACCACCTGTGACCGTTAGCTGGCTGTGTCTTGTAAAAGTACTATTCATCTGAGGATTAACGTAACCTACCCAATGGACGGGGAACAGGAATGAGGATACTAGCACCGAGATCTACCTCGTCCGAAAGAGTAGTAACATCCTTTAGTTCAGCGGCGCTGCCTGGATCACTGGTGATGATTGCATGGGTATACTTGAGATCCCGGAGTTTGAGCCTGACCTTGCCCTGGGTGTCTTCATACAGTAGTGCAAAACGAGGGGTGTTCGAAGCCTCCTGATCCAGAAAAGCAGAGGATCTAACCATCAGTTCCTCAATACGGACCTGTAGTGGCTCTCCTAGCTGTTCTACTGATGTGGAAGCCGAAAAAGCCGAAGCTGAAACTGCTGACTTAGCCCGTTTGTGCGAATCTGCGGTGACAAGCGGGAAGATAGAAACAACGCCCTCATACACTTCCAGGGTGAGGAAACTGCCGGATGGGTCAATCTGACATCTATCATCGCTGTGAGCTTCTCGCAGCGACCCGTCCGCAAGATCGATGTACTTCCGCTCGGTTCGCAGCTGTTCGTGGACCGGATCCCAGGTGATGGAGAAGTATGCGTACTGGTCAGTGCCGACGAAGAGAGCGTCCGTTAGCGCCAGGCCAGCAGCAGTAGATCGAGGAAGCTTTTTAAGGAGAGTGACGCGGCCATAGATGGCTTTGGAATGTTGTAGGACGAGGCCATCTGCGGATTGAGTGTAGAGCTCAAGGCGGTTCGCTTTCCTGGGGAGCTGTTAGCTGAATCCATTCTGGAGTAGATGAAGGAGTGGACTGACGCGACGACAAGGCAGTCTTCGTCTGGACTGATAAACTTGGCTCTAAGGGCGTGTCGGATGCTGCTGGCGCCGTGGATAGGAACGACGTAGGCCATTTTACATCTTGCACAGTTGACGTTGATGTTAATGTATGTCGCTTGGTGGAGTTGATAGCTGGAGCTGATGTTTGGTGAGTTAACTAACTTACTTAGGCGTGGCCGAACCTGGCTAGTTATGACGCACCTACCAACACTCTACTTCAACATACAGCGACATCTCATCCACACCTATATAGAGACTCAAATATACTGTCTACGAGATCAGACACGGAGCTAATGAAGCTACTTAGATTTGCTAGTGAGGTACTGGTAAACTACGGAAAAGTCCTTTCCACGGTGTTCCTTCTCGGTAGCCTCATAGACCTGCTGGACAGTGTCAGCGAGTTCAAGGGCAGTGCCAGACTCCCTTGCGGCCTCGACAGCGAGACGGAGATCCTTCTTCATGAGGCTGACACCGAAGCCTCCGGTGTAACCCCTGGATGCAGGTGAACCCTTAATGACACCAGGAGCTGGGTTATTTACCTCGCTGGACCAGCATCTGCCAGTGGACGAGTTAATCATCTGGCCGAGAACAGCGGGCTGGAGGCCCCATCGGATGCCCAGGTTCATGGCCTCGGCGGTGGCTATGTTGGCGACAGCGAGGAGGTAGTTGTTTGCGAGCTTGCCGGAGAGACCTGCCCCCTGGTCACCAAGGTGCCAGACCTTCTTACCCATTAGCAGCAGGGCAGCCTCTGCACGCTCGACCAGTCCGGGGACATCAGATGGGGCACCTAGCATGAATGTAAGGGTGCCAGCGGTGGCACCAACGACACCGCCGGACATAGGGGCGTCAACAAAGCGACCTGATCCGGTGGATTGGACAGCAGCGGCCACTTCACGAGAGGATGACGGGTCGATAGTCGAGCAGTCGATGAAGAGGCGGTCCTGGGCGAGCTTGGGAAGGCCGTCCTTGAGGATGACATGGAAAACGCTCTTTACATGTTGAGGCTCCGGCAGACTAGTCACCACGGTATCCTACGATCGTTAGCCCTCTATCTGTCTATCTACATATGTGTGTGTGCATATATATGTAGGGTGAATACCGACTGCTCGGCCAGCTCTCTGGGCCCGGAGGCGACTTTGACGTTCTCGGTTTCAGCGGTGAATCTGGCGGTGGTTTCTGGGTTGGCGTCGCAGACAAAAAGGGTATCCGATGCAGGTATCTTTGCCCTCAGGTTCCTCGCCATGGGGTAGCCTGTCTATCAGTTAGTGTCTGGACCTATACCAGCAACATCCAGCGCTCAACGGCCAACTATCAATGCCCAATGGCAGCTGATGGCGGAATCGACATACCCATCTGGCCGAGGCCGATGAACCCCCAAGTGGCATGACGGGAGGCTGAGGAGGAGAAGAGGCGAGCAGAGGAGGCCGTTGACAGGCGAGGGAGGCTCCGGGCCCGTGGCAGCAGTCTGTTTATCATGGTTGCTGCCTCTATGTCTATATCCGTCTATTGCAGAAGCGAAGAGCGCAAGCCGGGCAAGTCCTCCATATGAGGCAGAGCCGGTGATGCAGACGGAGAGCAGCGAGAGAGTCAGCGGCGGGCGGGCGGCCGAGCCGAGCCTACCCGAGGTTAGTCGTGATTACCTAAGAACCAGATGGTTTAGGTAAGCTGAGTGAGTGTCGTGAAAGATGTGCTGATTGGCTCGTGAGTCCTATTAAGATTAATTTCTCTGGCTCAGCCAGTAAGAAAGCAGTTAATTTTAACCTGAGGCTGCGACTTTGAGGCTAAGAAAGGTTAACTCCCATTCTCTGGCTTCTTACTGGTCATTCTAATTTAGCTCAGATTTCCCCAATATTCCTCCCCCGACAAATCCTAGCTGCGAGCAGTTTGATCCTCCATCCTTCGGCTTGTGTGTGGTGGCAGAGTCGCTGCTCGTTAGTCATCGGAGTCCTCGGGGCCCTTTGAGGCTCTTTCGCGTTCCGAAAACAGGCAGACATGGCGCTGCGAGATTCAGAATACGGGCAGGCAGCAGGCAGCCATGGAGATCAGCAGCCACAGGGATAGAGCGGAGAGTATAAAAGATACAAAGGCGTTAGGACGGGAGGGAAAGTGGCTTGACACTCGCTCATATTAACTATCATCTATATCACCTGTTTTCAACATGGCAGCGAAGGCCAAGGCGAAGAAGGACAAGAAGGAGGAAGAAGAAAAGGGAGAAGATAAGGAAGACAAAAAGGAGGAAGAAGAAAAGGCGCCATTCTCGAACCTCTGGGTGAGTCTGTTGTTCTACTCCTGTTGCGTTGGTGGTTGACTGGTGCCTGGCGTGGTTGTACATGCATAGCATATTTACGATGCTGACTGGAGTAGAGGATATTCTCATATGGCACCAAGGCTGACCTCGCCCTTATGGGTCTCGCCTTCTTCTGCTCTGCAGGTGCTGGTATTGTACGTCATGCACTTACACACGTAAATCGATACCTACTAATAGGAATAGGCTCTGCCTCTGATGAACATCGTCTTTGGTATGTTGATTGATGGATGCGTCAATGATTTCCTACTTGGCTGACCAACAGGTGCCCTTATCACTGATTTTAACAACTTCTTCCTTCCTGATTCTACCGTCTCGCCACAGCAGTTCAAGGCAACCGTCAATAAGAATGTGTACGTCTCCAATTTACACACTATTGTGTATGAATATGCTGACACGTTAAGTCTTTTTATCGTCTACCTGTTCATTGGCAAGTTTGTGCTCAGTTATGTCTCTATGGTATTACATTATATACCCATCCATTGGAACGTGAAAATAATCTGAACGAATAGTTCTGTTTACGGACAAGCGGAATTCGTATCTCAGCAAACTTGCGACTGGCGTATCTGACGGCACTCTTCCGTCAGCCTGTCTCCTATCTTGATGCTATGCCCATTGGCCGCCCGACGGACACCATCACTGCCTCATCCAACCTCATCCAGGCCGGCATATCAGACAGGCTTGCTGTGCTTGTCCAGTCGGCTGCTCTCATCGTTGCAGCTTATGCCGTTGCATTCTCTCGGTCCTGGTCCTTGACCTTAGTCTCTTCATCATGTTTGCTCTTCATCCTGCTCGTCTACACCGTGGTAATACCTTTCTATCTGCGTCTCTTCAAGGCCATCGAGGCTGCCAACGAGGGTGCCACAGCTGTTGCGGGTGAGGCTCTTTCATCCATTCGTACTGTCGTTGCTTGTGGTGCGCAGGCAAGTCTTGTCAACCGTCATGCCGTGCACATTGCAGAAGCCAGGCGTAAGGGCCTCCAGGTCTCCCCAGTTGTTGGGCTTCAGTTAGGACCGACTAATTTTGCCATGTACTGCAATTTTGCTCTTACCTTTTGGTTTGGTGTTAAGCAGTTCACTGCAGGCAACGTCTCTGATGCTGGACCAGTTGCGACGTACGTTTGCCCCCAACTCGCCAATATATTATGTTTATATTAACATTTACAGGGTCATATTCTCGGTTATCATCGTGGTGTCGGCTGTCTCATTCATTGCCAATCCAATTATTGCTCTCTCCAAGGCCATCGCTGCGTCTGCTCGCTATTTCTCTGTTATTGACGCACCCCCGGTCAAGACAGAAGGTATCAGGGATGTTGACCTTGCTAGCTGTAGAGAGCTCGCGTTCAAAGACGTTACTTTCTCCTATCCGACCAGGCCAGGTGTCACAATCCTTGACAATCTCTCTCTCGTTTTCCCGACTGGCAGGGTCACTGCTCTCGTTGGGCCTTCGGGGTGCGGTAAGAGTACTATCATCGCCTTACTTGAGCGTTGGTATCAGCTGTCAGATCAATTGGATCGCAGTAAAGTGAAAGAAACGAAAGAGAAAGAAAAAGAAAAAGACAGTGAAATCAAGGATGAAAAGTACGAGGCAGACAAGGAAGAGCGGAAAGAAAACGCCGGATTTATTATGATAGGGTCACACTGCATCGACGAGCTCGATCTTAAGTGGTGGCGATCTCAGATTGGCCTTGTCCAGCAAGAGCCCTTCTCTTTCAACACCTCCATATTCCGTAACGTCGCCTTTGGTCTCGTTGGTTCTCAATGGGAAAATGAGCAGGAGGATGTCCAGCGCCAACTTGTCATTGAGGCCTGTTGTGAGGCGTTCGCGGATGAATTCATTGAAAAATTGCCTGAGGTGAGTTCTCCAATGCATTTCTCAGTGTAGTATATGCAAGAATCACTCTTATGACAGTGGATGTAGAAATACGATACGATGATAGGGGAAAACGGAATCAAGCTTAGCGGTGGCCAGCGTCAGAGACTTGCCATTGCTCGCAGTATCATCAAGAGACCATCGATCCTTATTCTCGACGAAGCTACTAGTGCTATCGATGTCAGAGGGGAGCGTATCGTGCAGGAGGCACTTGATAGAGTCTCAAAGGGCCGCACTACCATAACCATCGCGCATAGGTTATCCACCATCAAAAAGGCGGACAAGATCATCGTCCTCCGTAAGGGAACTGCAGTTGAGTCGGGCACTCATGAAGAACTACTCGCTCAGGAGGGCCTATACCACAGCCTTGTGCATAACCAACAACTTGATATGGAAGACGATAACAACAACAAGACTGCACAAGCTGAGGTGGAGACTGGGAAAGATAGTTGTCAGTTGACTATGTCCAGGACGAAATCTGCTGTCGAAGAGACAAACCTCGAGCAGGGCCTCACTCTCCCCGAGGAGCCGCCTAAAGAACTATCCCTCTTTGACTCTGTTGGTGTTTTGTTGTGGGAACAGCGCAAGTACTGGATTCTATACGTGGGCGTCCTCATTGGAGCTGCCGGGTGTGGAGGTATGTTTCTTCCCCCAGTCTTTTCAGGTCTTGTCCTGCTAACGTGTGTAATAGCCGGATATTCAATTCAAAGCTATCTCTTTTCCCAGCTCATCACAGTCTTCCAGCTCACTGGTTCCAGGCTAGTAGAAAGAACAAACTTTTGGTCACTCATGTTCTTCGTCCTCGCCCTTGCGGTGGCGTTTTTTTACTTTGTCCTTGGCTGGAATTCCATGTCAATATCTACCGTAAGTCATCTGCCTCTTGATATTTATGCAAAAACTAACTTTATATAGTACGTGTCAACCACATACCGACAAGAGTACTTTGATAGCATGATCCGAAAACCGATAGGCTTCTTCGATAAGGACCAAAACTCTGCGGGTTCCCTCACCTCACGTATTTCATCCGATTCAACCCAGCTTCAGGAACTCCTGGGACCAACAATGGCGTTTCCTATCATCTCTGTCTTCAACGTGATGGGTTGCATAGCCATCTCGTTCACCTTTGGCTGGAAACTAACGCTAGTCGCTATTTTCTCCGCGTTTCCACTGATAATCATCGCTATGTTTGTCAGGGTTAGATACGAGGTTCAATTTGATAAGATGAACGCTGCTGTCTTTGAAGAGAGTTCACAGTTTGCATCCGAGGCCTTTGGGGCTTTCCGGACAGTTACGTCACTAACCCTGGAGAGCAGTATTGCAGACAGGTATTCAGATTTGCTACAAAATCATGTACGATCTGCCTTTGTCAAGGCAAGAGTTGCCGCCCTCGTCTTTGCTGCATCAGATAGCATGGAGTTACCCTGCATGGCCCTATGCTTCTGGTATGGTGGCCAGCTTCTCAGTACGCATGAGTACAGTGTCTTGCAGTTTTTTGTCATCTATATTGCCGTTGTCTTGGTAAGTTGGGCGTTGAGATTTGAGTATAGTACCCTCTTCATTACTAACAAGTGTATAGGGAGGTCAAGCGGCGGGACATTTCGGAAGCATCAGTCCTAGTAAGTTACTTTTGCCCCTATTTTAGAAATGATACTGATCAACTCCTATAGATTTGGCTCAAGCCAAGGCAGCTGCAAACCGCATCATGAGTATCCGGCCTGTACCAGACGACAACAAGAGCAGCGCTGTTCTCGATCAATGCGAGGGCGGTGTAGAAATCGAATTCAAGTCGGTAAACTTTAAATATCCTTCTCGAGATGTGCCGATATTCAAGAGCTTGTCATTCACAGTATGTTTACCTGTCAAAGTCTTACTTCCTGGTCTGACAGATATCATAGATTAGAAAGGGGCAGTTTGCCGCCCTCGTTGGCCCGTCAGGTAGAGTGTTTCCCCCTAGTTTACTGTTGCTTAATATGCTCTGACATGCTGTAGGGTGCGGGAAGACGTCTGTCATATCAATTCTCGAACGGTAGGTAATATGTGATTTTTCGGTGTGGGTAGGAGGCTAATTCAGAGCAGCTTCTATGACTACCAAGGTGGGCATATCCGCCTCAACGGAACCGAGCTTAGTTCGCTTGACCTAAAGCCCTACCGGCAAAGCGTATCTCTTGTATCACAGGAACCTACACTATATCAAGGTAGGGAGTCCTTCAAAAAATCTATGTAGGTTCACAATACTAAAGGTGACTTATTAGGAACTATACGAGACAACATTACACTAGGGATCGACCCGGACAGCGTGACTACCGAGAAAGTACACCAATCGTGTCGTGACGCAGAGATTCACGACTTTATCACATCCCTTCCGGACGGTAATTTTCTCACATTTACCCTTCGTGCCCAGCGCTAGGCTGCTTGACTGACTTGACTAGGTTACAACACGCAAGTAGGACAAAAAGGGCTGGCACTGAGCGGAGGCCAGAAGCAGCGTATATGCATAGCCCGTGCCTTGATACGGAACCCACAACTGCTGCTTCTCGATGAAGCCACGTCCAGCCTTGACTCTGAGTCCGAGAAGCTGGTGCAGTCTGCCATTGAACGTACGGCAAAGGGCAGGACGGTCCTGGTGGTCGCTCACCGTCTGGCTACGGTGCAGAACGCGGACGTCATCTTTGTCTTTGGGGACGGGGGTATAGTCGAGAGCGGTAGCCATCATAGCCTTCTGAAAAAACGAGGCGTATATTATCAAATGGTATGTCTGACCCTGTTACTGAATAATAGAAGCGCATCTAACAATCTTCTAGTGCGAGTCACAAGCTCTTGATCGTTGATAGAAGTTATATTCCACTCCTAAGGGCTTTCTTTTCATTTTTGTGTATTGTAGAAAAATTTATTCATATCTCTCCTTACTCCTACATAGTTTATCTCTAATAGACTCATCTAGTATATCTTTTACCGCTACAACTAACTACTTAGTGTACCTTTTTTATCAAGGAGAAGTAAGAATAAAACCATCAATCTAGAAGAAAAAAAAAGATGATAGAGGTGGGATTCGAACCCACGCATCTTTCGATACTGCGATGACTAAGAACGTCACCTGAACACAGCGCCTTGGACCGCTCGGCCACTCTACCTAAATCGTGCTAGAGCCTATCTAGGTGCGCTATACAAGGGTGAATGAATCCCAGGTTCTCTAGAAGCCTTAGCTTCTCTTAACATCGTTGGCAAGCCACCGAGAGAATAATACAAAAGAATTTCAAAAACTAATAATGACGATGTGATACCATACTGACTACTCCGTACATACAAAGGCCTAGTCGAGAGAGTGGAAGAGCCAGACGTTGGGCTCGCAGTACTCCCCCACGTCCCTACTAGGGTAGTACTGCATCGGCGCCAGACAGCCGCTGGGCGTAAAGATGACAGGCGCCTCTGTGTCACCAGGTTCCACCCAGACGCTCTTCCGCTGCTTCATGGCCTTGTCTGCTTGCTGGCGGACGTCGAGGTCACACCAGTTCTTCCACTCAGCTGCGCTGCCCCGGATATACATGCTCTGGCGCGCGATCTTGACCATCCGAGCTCCCAGACGGATGTGTTTTCGCAGCCAGGGGTCGAACGGGATGAAAGCTGCCGAATCTTCGTTGCCGGCCGAAACTGTTTCTGATGAACCGTTGCAACCGCTTGTTTCTCTGCTGGTGGTAAGCTCTGTAGCAGCCATGCCGGGTTTTCCGTTCTGGCCTCCGGTCTGTTTGCTCCATCCGAGGTATTCGGCCATGTCAACGTGTGGGAATTCTGCTTTCCGGGTAGGTCGTAGTGGCACGACGAGGATGGTCAGGTTTTGGGCCTGCGCAACCTCTTTCATTGCCTTGATGAGCATTTCAGCAACGTTGTAGCTTCTCCAGGCCGGGAGGACGGCAATAGCTAGGGCGGAAAGGGCATTGGGCGGCTCTGTCAGAGTCCAGCTGTCCATATCCTTGACCTGGTCGTGAGTGAGGGCGACGGGCTCGAGCTTCTTCTTTGTATCCTCTCGAGCGATTACCTGGTGGACACCACGAGCCAGAATGGTATCGAAACCTCCATCTGGTAGTGTTCGCAGCACTCTTGCGAAGTCCGATCCCTTGCTGTCGCCCCGGATGCCCGCCAGCTCCCTCCAGAAGAACGGTATGCAATTGCCGTTTCCGACGATAGTCTCTGTGCCATCTAACGTATGGACAGCGACAAGCTGGCATTTGGCAAGCTGGGGAAAATCATACAGCTTTTCGAAATAGCGCTGAGTGGTTATGGCTCCATCCAGGAACTCGGGCCACATAAATATCAACGGACAGTCTTCTTTTTGTATGAGGGCCAGGAGGTCCGGTCTCTGTGCTCCGGTGAACACAGTGATCGTGCCACGATCCTTTGTATCCTCGTCGACAGGCATTTCTTGATATAACGGTGTCTTTAGCGAGAAGGGGGCTTTGGTCGTGGGCAGTTGGGTGATGACATGGCCTACTCTTTTGTCAACGCGAAAGATACCAGCTGACCAGCTCGATATATGTGTTTTTATGGGATTGCTAGCTACGTGTACAATATGGCTTTAGACCTTCTCCTTACGAGCCCCTGCAGAGGTGACGATTATTTGTAGGAGCAGCTGAGAGGCGGGAAGCAGCAACACGTCGACAAGCCGACCCTGTGGATAATCCTTATAGAGAAGATCTGCTAGAGTTTCCATCTCTGCTGGATTTCCAGTGGATAACTAATGAATGCAGCACAATTGACTGTGCTCCTCGACGAAAAGGGGCCTGCTTTTCGACCGTCTGACTGTGTTGCGACTCGAGAGATTGGAGCGGACAGGGAATCACATCCATGTAGCTGTCACTCACAGCATTGTAATCCCAACCAGGAGTGACCCGTATCGGCGAGCCTTAATCGTTAGCCCGTGGAGCCTTGATGTGACAGGTCCGGAGGTCTCTAGGCATATTTCTTCCCGGCTGGTGTCAACCGAGAACTGGCTGGCGTTGCTCAGAAGTAGCCTGCCTTTACGGAGTTTAAGCGTGCCGTCTCTCCAGAAACTCCTACTCGTAACTAACCTACGCTGTCCATCTCCATCCTCGCGCTCAACTTGCCACGGCTGTTCCTGCGATTCACCTGGGCCCATCCACCCCTGCACGTGACTAACTAGCTACCTGCCTAGGTACCGACATACTACTTAGGTAAGATTAGTTAATTAATCGACTTTCGTCATCGACAAACGTTATCCTCTTTCTTTCCTCTTTCAGTACTCCGTACGGAGTACAGGTGGTGACTTTGACTACGTCCAGACTTCGTCAACTCCATCAACTTAGTTATTGCCATCGGCACCTCGCAAATACATCGACATTTATACGGAAATTGGGGTGAAAAGTGGCTGATACACCAGACTGATTCAGCAACCGTCCCGACTCAACCCCCTTTCCCAAAATACTCCTCAGACGTTGTTGTCGCGTGCATCAGAACTCGAAAGGCCAGCTCACGCTTCTTGCTCTGCGTGCTCTTCAACGATACCCATTCGCCATGGCACACAAGCCCGAGCAAAAGGAGGGCTCTTCCTCTGACTCCTCGAACATACTCTCTCCCCAGACCCGGCCAACCGAGCGTTCATCTAGCCCTGGTGGCGCTTGTCCTCCTTTTTGGGCTCCTGGAGATCGACCTGGCTACAAGGGCGTCCTGGACCGGCACAGGCGAAAGATGCGTCTATTTAGAAGCATACGTCTGGACGCGAAGCAGTTGCGGCACGTCCTCACGTTCATGCAACACAACTATATCCCCGAGGGGGTCGAGTGGACGTCTGATATCCTCTTTGCTTACGTTCCCAGGACCTTCGAGGGCGCAACCACCACAGAAATTATTGCCGGCCAAGCACTTTTTCATGCCATCACCCCTTCTCTCGATGCTATATTCCAAACGTGAGTTTAGGCGTCTTTCTCTCTGTCTTGTCTGTGTGATCCGTTGTATGAAGTACTAATGGGTTGTTACCTCCCCGAACAACTAGCACTCATAGTAATGTCTTGGCACTGAACAAGTCTCCACGATATATTGTGTTTGAGTTCTTTTGGAACGGTAGCCCGCCAGTCGTACCTATTGAATTGCAGGACCTGCCTAGCATCAAATTAACCCATGAAGAACCAGAGGAGATCTACCCGGATGCAGTTGAAGCGGGATGTAAGATAATCTCCAGATCGTTTTTCATTGAGGCTTGACAATATATTCTCCTTTGGGACTATCAGTTACGTCGGCGTCTTTAAAGGGCTTGGCGAGCGCCGGTTGGTCCTCGTCACAGCTGGCCACATAGTCGACAGTGCCGATTTGATCCAGGTACAAGACGAAGAACAAGATAATAATACTTACAAGTCGCAGGTCGTACCAGAGTTCGAGCGGATCGGGGGGATTCCCTTATATAGGAGAGGGGAACCTATTAACCCCCTTCTAGCATCACTTAACGAGACATGTCTCCTCGAGACCGACCAGATATCTCGTTCCGCGTTACGGCGAGTGGGTGACCATGTCGATTGCAATCGCTTCAACCCCGACTCTTCTATTAACTACACCGACGCTACTTCCTTGTCCGCCTTCGACCCGAAGCTAGGCGATATTGACCGTCTCAGACACCTTCTGCTTGAAGGGGGGCCAATCCGGGCCTTCAAGTGCGGTGCTACGTCGCGTTATACGACGGGATTTCTGTGCCAGGTCAAAAGGATAAGCATGAAGAGAACTTGTATCGGTTAAAGGTGCAGTGGACTCCCGCCGAGGAACCCTTTGCGGAGGGAGGAGACTCCGGCAGCCTTGTATTCGCCAAGGATTGAGACTGTATTGTCCCTTTGGGGATACATTGCGGCTCCAGAGGCACAAATAGCTATTCCCTCTCGCTGTGGTCAATATGTGAGGACATATCAACTCGGTTTGACGCAGACTTGTTCTTCTGCAGCCGAAACGATCTACCCATTCCAAACCTTCCGTTGTGTAAGTTGAAATCTTGAAGGAGGTGATCACTTCTCTTTTGTAGCCAATTATGATTTCCTTTCATCAGAGCTCACAACCCACCGCAGAAAAGTCCTACTTCACCATACAGACGCCTTGTGTTAACACCCATGGTTTTATATCCCCGAAGGCCGATTATTACAACTGAACGTTCAAGAACAAGAAATTCATTCGGTAGAATTGTTCTCGCTCCTTTCTCGCTCTTAACTATCACGGCAATTCCAGATGCCCGAAGATTGTGGATTACATGCACCCAGCTTGGAGAGGTTATGGTAGTTCTCATCAACGGGCAGTGCAGTGTAACCAGAAGCTGCAGTCCATATTTCATTGCTGGCTAATTTATATCTGTACTCCCGGGATATTTCGATATTTGCGTCACCAATTCTCCAATATCCACCTGATAAGGTTGCCGGTTTCACAGTTTAGTGGGTGATCAAATTTTTGCAAACTCCTGGGATGCAATCAAAGAGGAAGGCCGGATTATCTTCGCACCCTCATTTGCCTTGTTCAGGCATTTCTTATTGGACAGCTGGCGGGTAAGTTGTTTCTGACTTATATGAAGTCACAATTTAATTGGCTGGATCGCCAGCGAATAGGCTAACAAGGAAATGAATTCTAGCCAGTGGCTGCGGGCTAGTCCACTTGCGGTTAGTCTGGCCTGTAGAGTCAACTAACTGGCGACCCAGCGAACCAACACAACCACAACTACTGGACAAATTCAAGCGTGAGTTTAGTTATAACACTTGTGCCCGCCTTCGACTCGATAACGCAAGCCAATTGATTACGATAAAGACAGAGAAAAGATGATAGCCAGTGTGCACCGGCTATACATGGCTCAGCGGCTTTTCTCACGACCAGTGAGCGTAAGATCATGTCTCTTCAGCTCCACGTCGACCCCCATTGTGGCTCCAGGGGTGAGTGAGAGTCAAGTCTCGGACGAGCTACGCGAGCTTCTTAAAGCTGGCTGGGTACTCGATCAGCCTCGCAGTGGCATTGAGAAGTCCTACTACTTCAAGACATACACAAAGTGCCAGGTATGTGGCTCGTTTAGAATGTACTTCCCCAGGACCTAACACTCTGAAAAACTAGGACTTCTTCAATACTGTTGCCATACGGAGTAAAGCAAAGAACCACCATTCGACCATGATAATTGTAATTACTGCTTTTCTTATAGTTTTAATCATCCCGGTCATGGCTGACTTGCTAACCCTTTGCTTTAGAAAGCTGGCTCTGTCCACGTTCACTGGACAACCCATCATCCCCGTGGGCTCACACTCCTCGATACCCTCATGGCTCGATACTGTGACGAGCAGTCAGCATCGATTGGAACTGTGGACCAGAACCAGAGCAAGAAATGCCATCCTGCACCAGCATAGGCGTTGTCTGGCTAGCTAGCTCTTATCCCTTCATAACAGGGCAGTAAGCCAGTTTGATTATGCATCTTAAGGAAAGCCACGTTTTCAATATTGTACTCTATAATACCCCAGTCATTATTATTAATATTATGCTCTCTCTGTCTCAATAAAGGTTTCACATGTCGAGTTTCGTGTATATGTTTATCCTATTGCTTCCACCACAGTGCTGGGTTTTGTTCCCCGAGCAGAAGAAGCCACAGTCCGATTCAGGCTGGATGGTGCTCTCAGGGAACATATTAGCTCCACAGTAACACTCGCTGAAATATTCTACTCCAAAGTATTTTGTGCCATTGCAGAAGGAGGCACACAGTTCTACCGTCATCTTTTCGTTGTACGTGAAGCTGCCTGACAGGGTTCGGTTACTGGGGGAGTCGCTGTAGCATCCCGTGTAGTTGTACCCCGGTATCTGAGGGCTGGTGATGGGTACCCATTTGTCGTCTTTATAGATAGCGATCCGGTACCCTGCACCGCATGTCTCAGAGCTCTCACCGCCGCAAGGCTGGTTACACTCCGACTTGGGAGCTTGCATGCTGGAGTTACTTCTTGAGTCTCCGCAGTAACATTCAGTTCCATACTCAAGGCCGAAGAACTGGTAGCCTTTGCAAAGGCCAGAGCATGCCGCAACCGTCATGTTTTGGTTCACAAACGCAACACTCGTGAGGGCCCTTGACTCAGGGGTATCGGTGTAGCATCCATCAAAGGTGTAGTCTGGCATCGTGGTGTCGTTTGAGCCAAAGGGGGCACAGGTTGAGCCCAGGTCTGCGGTGTTTTTAAACGAATCTGATATCACTGCTCCGCCGCTCGTGAGGGAGACATCAAATTTGGCATTGGACCTGTACGCAGCTGCCAGGGTAAGGTTTCCAGAATAAAGCGTATAAGGACCAACAGTCGTCTGTGGTGACATTGGAACCGACTGAGTCGTCAAGGCTGGAGTCACACAGCAACTTCGCGGCGTTTTAGTCGTAACAGAGAGTTTAACACTTCCTGTATTGGCATTGTTCCGGACCTTTTGTGAAATTATCAGCCTATCGTCGTCCTCTTCACTGTACCGTCCCCATCAGGAGCTCCATTTGGGGAAGGCTGGGTTTCATACAGCGGCTACTACAACGAGATTCCCGGGCACCTCTCCTCCCAAAACGCAGCTCTGCCTGGGTTGAAGCATAATCGTATCCTGAACAGGGTAACTGGACTCATTGTTGTTGTAAACAACAGTCTCTCCAGTGCTCAAAACCACTCGTACGTTGAACTTGGAGATGGCAGTTTCGACGGGGAAGCGGGCCTCAAATCCATAGAACTAGAACCACAATTAGCACCTATACTATGAAATGATCAAGGGAGGGGGAATATAAGGTGATTGGTCATTTACTGCAAAGGAATCATCAAAGCCCTCAGCGGTGCCCTTGTACTCAGTACTGATAACACAAGATCCGCAACTAGAGCCTCCTGTACGGTCCTTGTAGACAAGCTCGACCTTTGAGATAGAAGTGACCGGCCGGGAGGTGGTTCTGACCCGGATTTCACCAGTGAAGGCGATAGTGCTGCCGTTGCCAGCCAGGGAGAGCTGCAGCCTGCCTGGCTTCACTTCGTAGGGCGCTATGGGGGCCGTCAGGTTCACGCCCGAAGGAACGACCTCTATCATCTTCTGGAGGACTCTGGCACATGTAGATCGAAAGGTAGCCCGGTCCGCTAATGTCTTGATTGTGACATTCCGGTCGGCCGTGAAGACCTTCGTATCTGCGTCCCGCTGGTTTCGCTTCGCCGTTGTGCTAGTAAGCGGGTTTCCGGCCACTCCGCCCACAAAGTCCGCTGCCACCTTCTCGTCGAAGGCAACGGTCGAATCAAACAGCTGAAAGTCGTTTGGCGCAGACCCGGGGACAACGATCTGGGGGAAGTTTGAGGCGTGGACTCCGCCCATCGTGTGTCCGCATGCAGTGACGGCGATCATGTCCGAGACATTGAACCCCATCCGCGTAAACTGGTTGATAAAGGTGCCCTGGGAGTTCTCAGGCTGCGGCACTCCAATCGACCCCCGTGCGGTGGCGTCGATTCTCCCAGCCCTGATCTGGACGACCGGCCCTCCGCAGGACCTGACGGCGGTGTAGACGCCCAGAGCTATCAAGTCAGCCATGGATGACCGCGTTGAGAAGAAGGGAGTGTAGGTCTCCAGCGTGGTATTGAATCCTGCCCCGATGTTCTCTCCCCCTTTTCCGCCCAGCTCAAACACGATCGAGGCATCCAGGCCGCCCACGCCAGTGAAGGAGTTTCCTGTGGCCATGTCATGGAAGGCAGTGCGAACCCACTCAGCAGATGCGACTCGAGACGGGCCTTGCTGGGAGAACGAGCACGGAGTGACGCCGGCTGAAAATCCTCGGGCGTGGTAGCCGGTGTTGAGAAACATGAGGTCTTCTAGCTCGTCAACAGAGGATGGCCATGTTGGCAGAGCCAGGGCTCCGGAGAGAGCAAACGCTGCCCATACGACGGACAAGTTGGTCAGCATCCTCAGCGTCGTCCTTTTGCTCTTTCTCGTGGAGCCAGAGGCCCTTTGATAGATGGCGACGATAGAAATATGTATAGCTAGCAGCTAACGGAGGACAGCAGGTATATAGTTAGTAGTTATATTTGCGTTCCAGCCAGGTAAGAGAGGCAAAGGACGCCGTCGACCTGAGCTCACACGCCTTGCCTGTTCGATACAGAAGTACGGAGTGCTCCGTAGCTGAATGTTGGTATCGGCAGCTCAGGGGGTATAGCTACGGAGTGCAGATACTTGTGCATCCTCGCCCGTCACTCTGCAGCTCCCGGCACCATTATTACTTAGCTGCCAGTTGCCAGTCACCCTCCGTAAGTAAAGCATGCCTCACTTTGGCCAAGCAGCTTCTCATCTCAAGAGAGTTTCGTTCTTTCGGCTGTTTACATTGGTAGCTTGTGCCAATTGATCCTTGATCCATGCTGCATCGGGGGTCCAGGGGTGCAAAAGAGAAAAGACACGGTTTCTAGTTAGCTGCAGCTCCGACAACTAAAAATGCGCCCAGGTGGGCCGCGCTAACTCGAAAGTTTGTGTACTTCATATATAATGGTTGAGATCTGGGCTGTTGGACTCATCTTTGCTTTTTCTCCTGATGCTTTGCTGGTAGCTTCACAATATGGCATGCTTAAAATAGTGGCTCTCCTGGTCAATATCACCGGGTTTTAAGTGTCAATGTCTCAGTTTTGCATGCTGAATCACGCATTTACGGCATTTCCTCTCCTCTCGCTGCAATTGTTTGCCGAAGAAAAGCTGGGGTAGCAAATATGCCTGTCTCAGCTGAGCTGGAGCCCCAGTCAGCCATCCTTAATGATGGATGGTGAGTGTAATCTAGCCATGGTTATTCTCTGGGCAAGCTTCCCAGGCGTTATTTTTTTATTTTATATTTCGTTAAATCTCGCACGATCTATCATTGGAAAACAACTTGAGACACAGAAATAATGATGATGCAACGCTGTGTTAATGCTAGAGTAAAGCATGTCTATCTAATGAGGGATGGCCAAATGGCCGCCAACGGTTCTCAGTCATAAGATATTGTGTAATTACAAGAGGGGAAAAAAAGGGAAAGAAAAGAAAAAAGACCAAGAAGAAGACCAACATGAAATGATGCACCTCTAAACACCGTAGGTTTTGAAAAAGCTGAATTCGTGAAACAGAAATTAGTAGTTGAAAATCATGAGCGAAGGGTTGAGAAGCAAGGGGAGGAGAGCATGGAGAGACAGGGTCACGGCCATAGGGACGACAGCGGCAACCTCTTTGATCTCCCAGCCTCGCGGCGCAAAATTTCCAAGATATATCATCCCGCCAATCAAGGGGATCAAAACAGCATACATCCACTTGAAGCTCTTGAATATCTTGGGTATTTCCTTGAAGAAGTTAGAGTCGACTTTCTCCTTTGCCGTGGCACCCCATTCCATCTTGATAGAGAACATATGGGACAGGAGTGCTAAGCTGAGGTGGAAAGAGACGCCTCCAAAGAATATAGCCATCATGGGCATCCATTTGAAGTTCTCGACGAGGGCGGACCACAGGCTTTTTTCTGACAGGCGCGATCGTATTATGGCAAGGGTTACGTTGCCGAGAAGAGAGAACACAACAATAAGACTTAGAAGTACTGGATAGACTGTTAGCTACGTCTTAAGGCATGTTAATATTGGTAACGCATACCTTTCCAAGACTCGATATAAAATTTGTCCAGGTAGCCATTGAACCAGCCTACCAAAAAGTAATTGAGGATAGTGAGTGGGAATCCAGAGGCGAGGGCGTAGTCTAAGATACGTTAAAATTGGCATATTCCAGCGGACAGGGGTTAAAAAAAAAAAAAAAAAAAAGCTTCTTACAGGAAGAGATATACCCTAGGATGGTAATCTTGGATGAAAGCTGCATGTTGCACCAGAGGAATGTCATGAAGAGCTTCGTAAAGGGCCCCTTATATATCCAGGTATAGATCGGGTTAAACACTAATTCGTTGCATCCATATGCGTATCTTGAGGGTACAGTTAGCATCTACTAGGTAAACCCATATGGAAATGAAGACCTACTTTTCCCATCTTGCCAGCTCGTCGTAGATCGTTAGGGATACACCCTCCTTGAACTCATCCCCATGGTAGCTTGCCAGACGAACGATATCACCAGCAATCTGAAGCCGAAGTGCAATGTCGAAATCTTCTGACACATGACTCTCAGACCAGTAGGCTACATAACCATCGTCCGGTTTCCCTACTGATTGAACAGCTGGTAAAGTTAGTCTGGTTGAGTATTTAGAATAGATTTTTCGACTATGGCCGGGGAGAGAGCACCTTTCCAGCGAAGGAATGCATTGTGGCCGACGAACGGCGCTGTTTCACCGCTGCCAACAGCAAACCGGATGGAAGAGTAAATAAGGTTGGTGAAAAATGTGATTCCGTTCTCAAAATAATCGCCAACCACTTGCATGACACCTGTTGAATGCTGGATGATGGCGACTTCAGGGCTTAAGAACATTTCAGCTGCCCCATAGAGTAAACAATCGACCGGCTGCGAATTCTGTTAGTATTTCTTTTTTTTTTTTTTTTTTTTTTTTATGCCAGGGAGTAAATGGGGGCTTACAACTCGAGTGTCAGCGTCGACAATAAGAATTGCTTCTCCAATTCGTATATCTCCAGCGGCCTTGATCCGGCTATCAGAGCCGAGAACCTCTTGCAGGGCCAGCTTGTAATAGGCCTCTTCCTGAGATGCATCTATCATTTCGGTTGTTTCCAGAGTCTCTGCTAGCATCTCCAGCAACTTGTCTTCCACCTTATTTGAGACGTTGAGTGCAAAATTCATGTTGGAAGCCTTCTTAAACCTGCCCTTCCGGATATATCCGTCTTGGTTGTTCTTTGGCCGCGAGACCCATCCAATGTTGTTGTCATGGTAAAAACTGATACGTTCTTCTCGCTGCTCCTCGGTGAGATATGCGAGGCCGTCATCATTGACAAAGATTGTGGCAGTCCCTATTCTATGCTATTAGCTAAAGCATCAGGGGAAAATGGGGAATGTTTTGTCTAGACGCACCTCCGTGGGATTCGTAGTAAGATATAGCAGCTTTCAGACTGGTTACTGTAGGAATG